TAACGATACCTATTAGCCAAAACGTAAACTAAACACCTAATACTGTATATAATTTATTTCAATGGTTAAACGGGGGAAAAACGGGATGCGCTCCTCAATAAAGGAAGAAAAACATATGCCCGCGGAAATCGCGGGATGAGCAAATTTTTCTACATTTGAGTTGCCCGTGGAAATTGCGGGATGATCAGCCAGAGGATTTAGCTCTAGAAATGCAAGATGCAAAACATATTAAAATCGCATATTGAAAAGAGCAATGGCATGCAAAATAAACTTGTGTATATATGATTATATGCTATATAATGCCATGTGGAGTATTTTGAACTTATATATTGAAGAAGCGCTTTATTATTCAGAACGTATTTGTCGTGTTCATCCTCCCCCCCGTTGCTGGTAGCTCGGTCCGAGGTTCGAATCCCGCGAACGGGCTGGCTGCATGGGCATTTTCGTGGTTTTCCCCATGTGTAACGTGTATACGAGCCAGTTTCCCTTAGAAAGTCCTCCACGAAAGGCATCCCCCCCTTAGGCAGATAGCCCTAGTGTGCTTTGCCGTATTCTCGATACACACACATACACACATCCCCCCCCGTTGATAGGCTTTCATTTAAGGCTTGTACCTCTTATTTCCTGCAAGTCAAGTGACAACAATTTCTGTTTTGCAAGGGCATCAAATTCACATCATAACCTCTTCGAGAAGTTAATAGCAGTGCTGAAGATAACTGATAATCATCTTCTTTAAATCGACCTGTTAGTAGAACAAAATCTCTAGAACCATGCAAGCTCAGCATAAGGAGATTTGATTGCATTAAAATTAATAATAACTAACTCTAATAACAAGCTAACCGTTCGATTTCAAGAAACTAATCTGCAGAGTAGGGAAAACTGCTAGTTATATATTTTATACGAAAGGATCATCCTCCATCATGTGCATGAAATTACTATAAACGTCATAGCCAAAATTCACTTGTTTATTATGATAAAAATTGTGCGGTTAAAACTTTTTGAAAAGCGCCCAACGTAATTTTCATTCATTACAAAGAAATTCCTTTCTGAGTTTCATAAATTCTTTTTGATGTAACGAGCAGGTGTTTCTTTTCTGCTGTGGAATCTCTCGAAATAAGACTTGTATTGAATGAAATCTTTGCAATTTAATATTAGAAAAAAGGTCGTTAATGTAGTACATTATTTGAATTTTTACACGTTAAAATCACATAATATTAACATAAAATTCATTCGTTTGGAATAAAAACCTGTTCATAGTTAAAACAATTATTATTTTGAGTATTTATCAAATGCTAAAAAGGTAATGAGTTAATAAATTTTATTTTGTGATACTTTGGTCGAAAGAAAGGGGGTAGAAATAGCAAAATAATTTTTTAAAAACTTTTAACTATATTTTATTTTAAATTTTGCAATTGTTAGTTTTCTTATGTTTTTCTACTATTTCTTTTGTTTATTATTTAGTTATTTTCATTTATTATAAAATAGAGCCAGTAAACAATTAAGTACTCAAGAAAATATTTTTCTTGTAATTCTATAAGTAATATATGTTTATTCATTTAAATAATGCAATAAATTAAAATTATATTCTTATTTGTGGCGACATCTATTGGCCATTACTGTAAAGAACTACATTGAATAAAGAATTGAATTAAAAGTAGAGCGTAATTTGAGAGAAACGCTAGGTAGTCTCATCTTATTTTTTAAAAATAGTACTATAAGGACCTAGTTATCTCTAATTAATTATATTTTATTTCAAACTCTTCTTCATTAATGTATCTGATATATTATCTTCAACTGAGGAATTTAGTTTAGTGGCACCATCTAGTGGGCAATAAAGGAAACTAAAGGATTTGAATTGAATTCTCTTGAATACTTTCACTTTCTTCAATATAAATTTTACTTACGCTTTTTTATTATATCTGTGATTCTCTGTATTTATGAAGCACTGGCTTACATAATTATGATATATCATGCATTGTTTCTTTGTGCCATTCTAGCCCACCTTATATTTCATTCACTATTTCTGTTTCCAAATCACATTACGTAAGATATTCTTCGTCGTTGAGATTACAACAAACAGCGCATTCCGTATTACAAAAAGATATTAATTATTTATTTGTTGAAATTGGATTAATTATTTACTGACAATTATCTGTAAAATAAAGAGACATTTAAAAATAATTACAATTCTTAGAAATGTTTTCATTGTTAAAAAATAAAATATTTGCTGTATTCATTGCAGCTACTACGCAACGATATTTCTACTATTTAGTAGAACTAATGAAATGCTTTCTTAGCCATATGCAACGTACGTTGGTTACAAAAATTCTGCTTTAATTCGTAGAAGTGCACACAGCACCGTTTGCACACTTAAGTATGATAAATTTTTTACTACTTCTCAGATCTCTTATTTACACCTGAATATTGCTTAATAGCGAAAAAGACCGTCTTCTTATTAAACAAAATATAGTATATAATGAAAACTAATTTAGAAATAATGATGTAGAAACACCGAAACGTAAATTTAATAATATTCCGTTTCGTAAGTGTTGATCCGGACAGTGGCGTAGCGAGCGGGGGGCAAGGGGGTGTATGATGCCCCGGGCGCCTCTCGCAGTGGGGCGCCAAATGGTCTCCAAACAAGATTTTCCGGAAAATTTCATATTATTTTGATCGATTTCTGGAAATATTTTGAAATTATAATTATATAATATAATTAATTACTCATTTCTTGATTTTGTCTGATAAAATGTAATAAAATGTTTGCAGTACATCAACCTAAATATTTCCGCATACAAACGTTCTTTCTGACCACTTTATTTCTCTAAAATAGAGAGATATTTATTTTTTTTAAAACGAAATGCATAGTATAGATCCCGCTTTTATATTTTAAAACGATAACATGACCTTGCCCCGAATTTTTCGAAACATATCCAGTTTCCAAAAACCGATTCCATAGTCTGGAAATGGCATTTGAGAAACTCGTAACGCTTTCGCTACAATGGATTGCGTTTGACTCTCCTGTAAACGCCTGATGGCCTTCCTGGCTACCGATTCAATTATCATTAGGCTGAGACTCGTATATTCACCGCTTTAAAGCATTCAAAGCGTGTCAATGTTTTTAATCTTCTACTACAAAGGAAGCTGCAGGTCGCTCCTTATCTAAAACGCATAGTTTCGATGTCACAGACGAAATTTTGCATATTCCCAACTTGAACGCTATAATTTTCCTTTATAATCTTTTTCCATTTCTTTTGTTAAAAGGTTTCGATTATATGGATTTCATACCGACTCACCATATTCCCGAATTGTTTTGAACATGAATGTGACTGCAAAATTTACTCCGCAGTAGAAAGAAACTGAACCTAAAACTCCATTACGGATTCTATGGAGAAAATGTTTTCCAGCCTAAGAGTAGCACTTCAACCACTCCTTCTTTTCATTATCAAATGTAGCTGAAACGTTCGTTCAGCAAATTAAAATAATTTGGACATATTTACAATCAACGAGGACAAGATCCCCTAAGTCATCTAGCATTTTTAATGTGGAAAGAGAAAAATTTGAAATGAGCGACTTTGATAAAGTAATTCTAATTTGTTTCATCCAGACAAGAAAAATGTATACATAGTAATTAATTATATTATGTATTATAATATTAAATTATTATTATAATATATCTACACTAATGGATTTAAGTCAACAATATTTATCTATATATATATTAAACTTTTATTGTTTAAAAATGTACTTTTTTTAAAAACAATTTATAATATGTAAAATAAATAATACATTTTTAACTATTCTAGATCCGTAGGTGTGATTTTTCTGCCGACTCAGAATCCACTGTAGTTTCCGATCCATAGTGCAGTAGGTATGACTATTTGAATATTTTAGAGTATTTCATGACAAATTCAGCATTTTATTATTATTTGTATATTTTATTATTACGAATATATTCTACACATTATATTACCGTGTTTTTTTGGGGGGGCGCCAAAAAGGTATCTTGCCTCGGGCGCCAGTTGTGGTCGCTACGCCAATGGATCCGGAATGAACAGCAAGAATTTTGATTGCTTAGAATGTTTATCCATAAGGAAAAGGAAATTGGCAATCGAGGCAGCTCGACCTTTCAAATCTTAGGCTTGCTTTAGGAGCTACGAACCAGTCCGCGTGACTCAATCGCTCTGGGGAAAGTTCCCGGACACTCTGGTAACACGTACCGCATGGAAAACCATGTTGTCCTTCTCTCGATCGAACCCAAACGCTACCGTTACACCACGAAGTGTGCTACCGTTACACCAGGAAGGCCTGGAAGGAGGGAGAAAATACCTTGTCTAATCCCCCTTTTAAAGGACGGCTGGTCATTAGGGGACTCAGTCGCAATTCCTGGTGTTGAAGGTTCCTAGTCCACCACCTTTTAGTTCGAGTGCCATTTGTAGAATCATTAGGTTTATTTTGAAGCAGGAGATGTGAAAAATGTGCAGTGCCCTCTCCGAGACTTTATGTATCTAGACTTGCCTGTACCTGTGAGACGTCTCGAATTCGTTCCGAGTGTGCTACCATTACATCACGAAATCATGCTGGAAGGTGGGAGAAAATACCTTAAAATGTATAAGTTTGGTGATACTGATTGCCGCAAAATTTCACTGGCACTGAAAATTCAAGGAGGATCAAAATCATATTTTTAAGAGCGATGATATTTTGTAAAAATTTAAAAACTCTGAATTACAGGATCCTACAGACTCTAGATTCTGTTTTCCAATAGCAATATGAACAGGAATTTCATCAACTGTATCTCTCTAAAATTCTAAGGTATGTAAAGTATCTTAGAATTTTACAGAGATCACTTTATTGATGAGGAAGTTCCTAGATTCCATCATCCAGAATTAAGGTAAAGCAGGATGGATTATTTCTGTAAGATTTTTGCGATATTGTTTTATTGATGTGAATGATCTCTTTTGTTATTCAGCTTTGTGATTAAAATTTTTTGTCTTTCACAGGGTTTCTTCAGGAGGAGCATCCAGAAAAAAATTGAGTACCGTTGTCTGCGGGACGAAAAATGCTTGGTTATCAGGCTTAACAGGAACCGATGTCAGTTCTGCAGATTCAAGAAATGCCTCGACGTCGGGATGTCTAGGGACTGTGAGTTGTTTTCTTGCCTGTATCTCTGATTTAGTTTGTGTAGTTTTTGTATAAAATATCTTGTAGCTTTTCTGCGGAATTTTATCTTTTATGAACTTAATAGTGGAGATCACTGAATCATGGGATCCAGGGTCCACATATGATCCTGCATTCCATCATACAAAACTAGAGATGTTCAGAGACATGATTAACTTTCTCTTCGTATTATAGTCACTATTCATGGCTTATTTTGTTTACAGATTTAGTGTTTATGTTTAATTTTACCCTATTAAGGACCCCGTGATGTAAATTTCAGCTGCCAGAATCAGGGATGTCCAGGGACTATAAGTTGTACTTTGCTGTAATTTTCTCTGTTTGTATCATAGCCTGTAGGATTTTATGTTTAATATTAACAGTTATTAAGGGTCTAATGGTGGAGATCCGAGGATCATGGTGTTATGGATTCTTAGATTCATACCCGTGGACAATCGTGAGATATACAATCCCTGGATGATCTTGGATTTCACCCAGGATCAGAAATATCAAGATATTGTGATTTACTATCTATATCTCTTTTGTTATAGTTACTCTTCGTGGCATGTTCCGTCATTGCTTGTTGAATTTCTTCTTAGTTTGACCTTTTGTTAAAGACCTAATAGGGGAGATTCTGTGTTAAAGACTCTGTGGCAATTCTGTGTTAAAGTTCTGTGGCATAGACTCTGAGATCTGGGATGTCGATGTATAAGTTGATCCATCTCTGTATTGTAATTACTTTTCGTGGCTGTTTTTCATATTGCTTGTAGATTTCTCATCTTATTGTACCTGCTGGTAATGATTTAATAGTGCAGAACCAAGGATCCCGCAAGGACTGTGAGTGCAAAAGAACATTGTACGTACAATCCTTACGGATTTACGATCTTGCGATGTAATCGCCGTCTAATTCAATGCATTTAAGCCGACAAGGTCGTAGATATCGAGAGGGAAAAAGTCCTTTTTACAGTTATGCTACCACTTTTGCGCCACCGACCAAACTTTATCACCGTTCCGCAGCTCAGTCCCACTCAAAAGTGTACCCAGAGATCTAATTTTCAATACTGATACGTTGCAGAAATGTTTAATCATCAGCCTCATACCAGTACAGAACATTCAAAGAACCTTTAACAAGTATCAATACATCTTTCATTTCAGATTTGGTCGGAACTTCATCTCATCGTGAAAGATGTGATGGACTGATCGAACATTAATGCCCAATAGTAATTCTACATTTTTATTGTAATATACAAGTTTTCCCTAGTTACATTTTTCATGGCTGTAATGTTGTTTTCTGCAATTGTTATACCTAGGCAAGAAACATCTTCCACACTTTTGACGCTGTTCTTCGTGTTCTCAGTCCATTCGTACACTTATGTGCGACTTAAATACACATTAGCATACTGAATTCTCATCCAACGACGAATCGAAATAGGTTTCGCATTTTCGCTTAACAAAAACCTTATTGTTCTACAGTGGTCCTTCTTAGAATACTATTGCAATAAGTGTCTTCTGAAACTGATTACTATATTTCTGTGCGTGCCACAAGAGCTCTAACGCTGTCTGTTGGTAGCTCATAGTCGTTATCCTGCATAGTTGGCAAAACAATGGTATCAATCGTACACTGAATTTTTTTAATGTAACATTTCCGGTGTGCCATTAAAATGCTTAATGAGTTTTAATTTTTCGAACTAATTCTTCATTATTTAATGTTTAACTTTGAGCTTAATATCTTCAAGTTGATGGAAATGTCATGTACTAAGTATTATATTAGACCGAATAAATAAATCTTGTGATTGGAATACTTCAAAAATCTTTTCAAGCTATGGGCATTGTAACTATAACAAATCTAAGAATTGATGTATACTGAAATGATAAATAGAATTTAGAGTAAATATTCTCACAATATGTCATGTATGCAGAATTTTTTGAGAATTTTCGGCTATTATAAAAGCACATAAAAGCATAAGCAAAACATTATTTAGTCCAATCATACTAAATAATATATCAGTTTGAGAGCAAACACAGAGGGATTTCGAAACTTCTGCCATATTTTAAACATAACCATTATTTTAAATGTTATGATAAGAAGAATAACGCAGATGGTCATGTTGTTGCTTGACTTTTGTGACAAGAGGCAATTTTGCGGAGTGTTAAAAGTAACTAATTTTTACATTATTTTATAATACCTTCCCTAAAGAAATATGGCGAGTCGCTCTCGTTATAAATGTTACCATATGTATTTAAGCAGTCTTCAGACCTTCAAGTCTGAAATTTTTAGTCTTCATCAAGCAAGGAGCTTTGACTTGCTTATCATTCATGTTTTAAATGTTGTAATGAGAGAGGAATAAAATTGAGCTTACCTTCTACTGGAAGACTGATCAGGGTTTTTACATCAACTTATGAACTCCAATTTGCAACGTTAACTATTTTGATCTTCAAGTTGATATATATGATAAAAGAAATTCTAAGAAAAAGCACTGTGTTAATGCTTACAATGCACTTGCCGACTGGCTGAAGGGAAGTATGGGTGTAGCTCTTTCAATCACGGCTAGGAACTTGGCAGTGAGATCAACACTCACTTGGGTCGCTTTTGTACCCGAAAGAACGGGAACCGCAGTTACATGTTTACGGCAAGACACGAAACGAGAAAATCAGCAGTGCACTCAGGCCATCATCGTTCCCCACTGGCACGCTTCATAGTTATATATTCAACCTAAGTGCCCACAGGCAAGGCCCATACTTACATGATATCGGTAAGAAACAAAGTTGAGAACAAAAAGTAACTTCACCATCTGTTATAAATTGATAGCTCACGCTTTAGGTGGCGCTTCGGCGCCTTGACTTTGTTGTTATTCTATAACTGAACTTTAGTTTCATGGAAGATCGAAGGTGTTAATCCTAATAATAATGAAGGCGTGTGCCTAATAATAATCCTTGTAACCATTGTATTATATGTAAATAAATTTGTGTATTAATAACGAAGCGGAATCATCACCTTTGGATTTAATGCTCTCTGATTGGTAATGAAATAGTTACTACATCATATGAAATCAGCACCATGTCTTAATTTTCCAGTGCTTGCCTTCACTTCCCAAACATGAAGTCTGCCTCTTCTATGGTATATTATATTGCTGTAAATATGTAAATTCCATGCTTGTCGTTATTGAACAATAGATTACACCCATCTCAGCACTTGGAGTGCTTTATTATATACGAATTGCACCTCAACAAGAATTATCTTTTAAAATCCGCGACTGATTATTATTACGTTGAAAAAAAAAATTATTACGTTGAAAAAAAAAACCTCCAACTTCTGGCGTCCAGTATTATCATCTTTATCAAACGTCGAGGCTAAAAAATTTTCGTTTCAAATAATACGTGTCTCATATCTATTTTAACAATGGTTCTCAATAAATCGTTAGTTTTCTGCTTTAAAACGTGTATTCGTTTTGAAAGTAAATATGTGTTTACTTTAAAAAGTTTTGATCAGGAATAGCTTCTCTAAGACGACCACGCTTTCAAATTATTTGGGTCTTCGATGAAATTGATATTCAGTACCCGTATTTTATTTATAATTTCAGAAATATCACTTTCAGACATGGTCGTCTATAGGATATGCTTGCCAAAATAGTTATATTGGCTAGAAACAATAAATAAAAGAATTGCCATAATTTGCTTTTAAAATAAATAAAATCATCATACTTCTATAAATCAACATTTTTTAAACTGTAGTTCATTGACTCATGGGAGTCCGCGTGTTAGCAGCCAGATATCCACCTCTTATTATTGAAGCGAATATAGCAAATATTTGATTTATTTTTTCAGTTTCAGAAGGAAAAATATTTCTAAAATGTCATGCAAGTCAATGATTAGGCGTTCGGCAAATTGTATTAAAGAGGTCTTCGAAGTTTAAAAGTACCGCAGCTACAGATGATTTACTCATCATAAAAGTTCTGTTCATGATGTATTGTGGATGACTTACGTTTGAATTATACTTTTGTGTTTCTTCAGCTGTGCGGTACGGTCGAGTGCCGAAGAGATCCCGTGAACGGATGGAGGAGAATCGTGTAACCCAGTCCGAGGCTGACCAATCCATTAGAGATATCGAGAATAAAGAATTGGCCATGTACGATATGACCCTAACCATCGCCCAGGCTCACCATTCCAACTGTGCCTACACCGAATTGAGGACGAGAGGACTTGTCAGAAAACCCGCGATATTAGTAAGTTCCATTTATAACTTTACACAACAACAACACATTGAAAACACCATTAAGTATTTATTGTTTAATTTGTGGATTTTATTAATGTTTTAGGGCCGCAACGAATTCCAAACGAGCAACGTATCAGAAAAGGGTAACACCCAGGTCGCCCCTGACAGCTTGGAGCAACAGAAGATCGTGATGTGGCAGCATTTTGCTGCCTTCCTCACACCTTCTATCCAAAGGATAGTAGAGTTTGCCAAGAAAATTCCGGGTTTCTTCGATTTGACGCAGGACGACCAGCTGCTGCTTATCAAGAAGGGATTCTTTGAGATCTGGGTTGTACATGCGTCCCGACTCACCAGCCCTTCCGACAGTACTATTACTTTTTGCGACGGCAGCTATATCACGCGCCAGCAAGTAGAACTCATGTTTGATGTAAGTATCCGTCTTTGCGTTCTTGGCGATTATGAATACTGTTCTAAATGTATATTATCTATATTGCTAGCAAGTGATTATCGGTATTTGTTAGTTGAATCAATGATCATATAACAAATGTCTTAGTATCCTTTTTTTTTAATATTTTCAGTGTATTAATGGTCAGTCCTTGATATCTTTAATGCACAGTATGAATGTCCGATTAAGACAATCAGAGATCATAGTCTCAGAATAATTCTTTCTGGGGTCCTTACTGTTATCTGGGAAAAACAGGATTGTAAGGAAATGCAGGAAACTTTGAGGTCCAAATGAGCATACAATTTTCTTTTCATTTCACCCATTTAAACTCACTCTTCGAACTATTTTCTTTTCATAATAAACTCTGAAGTTGAAAAGGGAGTTTATACTAACAATTTCTCGAAACCTCGCACAATCGGATTAACATTAACATTTGCATTATTTCTAGCAGGCTTTTCTACCAGAAACGAATCATTAACTCAAATAACTAGTATGTGACTAAATAAAATTGTGATGTGCCATTTTTTAATTGAAAGAGAAATTTATAAAGGAATCAAATTCTGGAAGTGAGTTCGATAGCGTTGTTTTAAACTAAGATTATCGTTTAACTGAACAGCATTTTTATGTAATTTATTTACGTGTCAGATTCTTCAACAAGTATGCATTCAACAAGTTATGCATAAACCTATTTTCTACGTTTTTAAAGAAGAATTATTCGTTATCGAAATTGTTTATCGGCAATGGACAGCCATTTTATGTAATTTCAGAAAGATACTTTTTCCCCCTCGTGTTCCAGAAATTCAACAAAATTCAGACATTCTAAGTTAAATTTTCTAATTTGGATACTGGAATAGGATTTCTCGATATCTAGTTTTGCGAAAATTCTAATTGAAATTCGCGTAAAAACTATTTTAAGAAAAAAAAAATAGTGTAACCATTTTACTATAAATTAAGAAAATAAAAGGAAAAAATTCCATATTCGTTGAAAAATCTCCGAAGATTCATTGAAATTGGTTTTAAACATAGTTTAGGGGCCAGGTCTTTACATTTTAATTCAGCTTTTGTATGGATGTTGTTGAAATATTGAACATATATTCACAAATTCTTTTGATATTAACAGTTCTGAAATATTAATTTGTTCATTTCAGTTCATTTAAACGAATGATATCATTTTCATTTGTTCTTTTTAGGTTAAATTATTGCTTCATTACACTAAAACAAGCGTGGATTAGATATCTTTTTTTACGCTAACATGACATTCTTTTCTTTTTCAGTATGAGTTCGTCCTGGCATTGTTCAACTTCGTAACCTCGCTCAATAGCATGGAGCTGAATGATACGGAGGTGGCGCTTTTCTCAGCTATTGTACTTCTCACCTCAGGTAAGTACTGTAATTTGCATTTACATTCTTGTAGTGATTTACTTTGTGACTTAAGTGTCACAAGGGACATAAGTTCAGTTTTGATGGTAATGTAATATACGAGTGTGCTGCATCCCTCCTGGCCGATAATAATCGGCCTCATGGTTAACGCAGCACACCCAACACAGATTAAAACAAACAGAAAATCCTTTGCAAATCTAAACTCTTTCGGCGGTCCACAGTAACAGTACCTAACAGTAATCTCAACTCTTTCGACAGTACACAGTGTTGATGGTACACAACTTCGCGACACTGAACCGTGACTGGAGGTGGTTTTAGTCCGTAACGCAGTTTTCAAAGTATGTTTCTTACCAAGAACGACCGAACCAACCAATCACTGCAAAATAGATGACGTCATTAGCTGACAAAACGAAATCGACTCCATGTTAGTCTTAGGTCAACGTCTGCTGTTAACAAAGAAATTCTCTTGCTTAAAATATCAACCATTACATGATTTGTTGCGATGAAAGCGCATTTTGCTGTATTTTATAATTTGGAAGATGAATCAACGATTTTATGACGTGGCAAGTAAGTAGATTGCAGCAGCTAATTGGGAGTATAAAGATTTTATGCTAAGTGCATTGGCATCTTTTTCCAGTTTTGAAGGTTAACTTTGCATAGCCAAAGTCATTATTCGTGCACCGGGGGGGGTAAAAATAGCTAAATAAAATGTATATGTTTATATACATTGTGTGTTTATGTTTATGTATATGTTTTATATACGTATGTTTATATACATTGTTTATACACATTTGTGTGTATATAAAATATTTGAATGTTTTATGTCAGATATCATTTTCTACAATTTCTCGCATAAGATAACATGTGTAAACTGCGTTTTTCTTGTAAATATGTACCAATTATGTGTAACTAGCGTTTATTTAAGAAGAGTTAGAAAATATAACGTAAAATTAAACAAAAACAAAGGATTTTATCACAATTCGTAACCATTTGAATTCTTAAAATATATAACAGTATTTTATTTTTGCTTTTATAGAGAAATATACAACGTTCTTAAAATAACTATGTGGTTGCACCCCTTCCCTCAGCTCCGTATTAGGTGGTAGGAGGGATTTTGCCAAGTAAATCTCTTTAATGGACTCTATAAATTTCTGTCTTGAAACCTTGACTACTTCACATGATTCTGGGAAGGTGGGCTTCTTAGCGTCTTAAGGACAAAAGAGGAATAGGATATTATCAAATTCTAGTCTTCCGCTGAGATGCCCGGCCGATTGAGGCATGAGTAATGTGGTTTCCGTATTCGTCTCCTTCGTCCAAAGTTGAGGCTTTTTGAGTACAGATCTCAATAATCATAAGATACGACCTAAAGAGAAACCAAACCTTTAAAATAAATCATAAAATATAACATTTATCACCGAACGTGAAATTCACTTCCTCCCAAATGTGTTTGATATGTTCGTTTTATTATATTATTGATCAAAAGTGCATGAACTGAATCCTTGGTGTGTCAGCTTCTTCAACAAATATTAGAGCATGATCTGCCGCCCAGCGGTATAGTAGTTAGGGAAGTCTACTGGTTACCGAAGATACATTTCTTAGGCAGGTCAACTGATCCATAACTCACATATTTTCATTAGAGGAGATAATATGAGGTGTTAACTCCTTTATGAAGATCAAGTTTCAAAACGTTTCGAGTCTTTAGGTACATCTCTCGTAAAGGAATCCAATCCTTATGCAACTAGGAATTTCTTTAGTAGCTAAAGGAATAAATTAGTAATTTACCTATTTAAAAAAACCCTGCACTTTGTGAATTTTTTTTAAATGTTAAAAACTAATCTTCGTAAAGGTGCGCGCACAATTATGCGTGAGATCCTAGTGAAAATTTCTGATAACTGATCTGCATATCTGCCGGCATTTCGTAATCTCGGTCTTCACGCATTTTACGTTAAAATCATTATTCATGTCTTTTATCCTGTCTGTGAAATGTTTATATGTCTTGAAAAATTGTATATGCAACAGACAATGCGGTAAACTTCTTGTATCAATGCAGAATTTTCTGCGAAAATTTTACCGAGTTTAAAACAAAATTTAATGTTCATGCGTTGTTCCATTTGATTTGGTGCCATTGTACCAGTTCGTGCGTCTACTTTCCTCCAAACATTTGAGAAAATATTTATTATATGGTTTTTGGTATATGTTATTATGAAGAGTAATAATATTTGATTACGTTTCATACGCTGTTAATTTCATCAGAAAATGTTAGGTTTCTTTTCACAAAAATCACGCATAGCAAACATGATATTCGTTATGACGTACCTCACTTGTCTCATTATAATTTAACCCACATTATTAATTTCTGTAACTAAAAACTAAACAGTAATATTAAATACAAGCTGTTTCTTTTATTTCTGCTGCCTGTGGAATTAAAAACTAAGAAAACATATAACACCAAGACCTGCTGCAATTTTCAGAGCCAGTTAAAGACTGGAGTACAGTTTAACTGAAGAAATAAAAATGCCAAGACACGAGTCAGAAAGGAATAGAGCAAACTAGGGCTTTCGCCAGCTCTTAAATTCTGCTAGCAGTAGAAATTTAAATTTAACTTGGTCATATTGCAGGCTTTGAATAAAGTGACTTCCTTCAAGGCAGCAAGAATACCATCATTGTCGCAAAGGAAACTAACTCGGATGGCCGTAGCTTATTCGATTTATACTTGCTCCAGAATTACATTTCTTCAAAGTTCTGTTCTTTTTATTACACACTGAAGGATTTATATGTTTCGGAAAGTTCGAATTTAGAAGTAGAATCAAAAGAAAGAAGAAAAATTATACAAAAAGGATTGAGTTAAAAATTTTTTGTTAATAATGTCGTTATTGTTAGACATCTACATGCTCAGTTTTTAATCCATTTAGAGAGACATGGCATCTATGACCATAAAGCCATAGACCAGCTCCAGGAGAAAATCATGGAGGCTTTGAAAATCCAGGTGTCGAAAAATCATCCGGGAGAGCTCAACACCTTCCCCATGCTCATGATGAAGCTCCCCGAGTTGAGGTCCTTGGGTGCAAAGCACGCCGAGCACCTGGAATGGTTCCGGGCCAATTGGACTCGTCTCAGGCTACCACCCCTGTTTGCCGAGATCTTCGACATCCCCAAGTACGAAGAAGATGTCCAGCAATAACAGTGTAAGTCTTTCTTTCTTTGTTGCTTGTGAATGAAAGAACGAGGTTATTATTTTTTAATTTTTCAGACGAAAATTACTAATCATAATTCCCTCTACCTCCATATTTGCTTGAAAAGAGACGCCTTCATATCGGTACCCCCCCCTAAAAATACTTGGACCTTAATACAGTAACGCCACTGTTCGATAAGGTAGAACTCACAGTAGTGCCTTCACATAGGTGTGTCGATATTTTTGTGGATATCAGTTTTTAAATTGCGGAAAGCAGCCGTCATAAAAATGTTTCCGCCCCTACGTAAATAGGCTTTTAATTTGCTTCTTTGATGAATAAGGCAAGGGAAACTGTACTCCGGGATAAACACGCTAATTTCTTTACGAAAGTTACGATCTCCAAGTTGGGGAGCGGGAGGAAGAGATATTCGTAAATGGACACTTTATGCAGTGACACTGTTGTGGAAATTTTGGTCTTGGCTAACACCGGATGTCTTGCATAGAGGTGCATCACTTCTGTGCAAGCCTATGTGATAGGACCAGATATGCAGTGTTCACTTCGAAAGGCACCATCCTTTTTTAGAATGTTTCATTCCTTGAAATAATCATGCAAATGTTTGGATAACTTAGTTTTAGGCTAAGCGCATGAAAGTTTCTATGATTAAATTGTAACCCAGTTTCGACTGACACCCCAGAGTGTCTCCAGTCTGTCTGCCTTATTACGATCTTCTTGAGAGACCTATACGGAAATTAATCGTACAAAAATCCTTTGGGCAATAATAAAGAAGAAAAATTTTTAGTTAAATTTGTGTAGCTATATTTAATAAATAACTTTGTGTAGCAATAAATTTGTGTAACTATATTTGTTGAGAAAATACCTGACAGAGTCTATTTTTGACTAACGTTTAGTGATTTACAAATGAAAGATAATCATAAATGCTATTCAGATTTACTCCTAAACACAACTGGCGTTAAAGCTCCGTAATTGTTCTTCGCCTTCCAAAGTATGCTTTGGTGATTTATATTCGATTCAAGGTTCTTTTAAATTTCTATTTTCTTTGAGAACATGCTTTTGCAGCAAAGCGCAGTTAAAAAATTACCATGAATACGAAATATTAATTAAGTGAATTAACCGGTATAGTGGGGAAGTCATTTTCCAGAACCGTTCTTTGCAATCGATGCCTAAAAAACAAAAGATTGATCTTTAACATCCATATATATTTTAAATTACGTTTCTTTGCTAATGTTCCCAGGGAAAATTTTGTTTTGAAAGGCATACTTTGATTGAGTTTTATTTTATTTAATTATTTATATTTTTCATTTTATTTTAGTGTAAAAGTATGCTTAATGTTATGATGATATTACAATTATAACTTCTGTTTTGACACAGAATTTTTCTTCATTAAACAGTAACTAAGAATATGTATTGTTGAATTAATTGTCTTAGAAGGGGAAAAATTAAAAGTTTTTCTTTCTAATTGTCAGGTGTCGTTCCTTCTTAAATTTTCTGATTCGCTTTCAATTTCGTGGCTATAACCAACTCGCGCTTGACCGGAGTAATACCAGATGCAGGCCACGGTTAACTTAAAACTACGGTAAATCTGAAGGAACTGTTAAAAAAAGACATATCAAAGAGGAATGAAAAATACTGTTAGCAATTTACCTGTATTTTCAAGCAGTTCAATCTGCAGGATAAGTTCATTTGTAGCGCAAATTGAATCAGGATTCAAAACATTGTAAACACTAAACTGCAAATGACGGAAAATTAAACGTCATTTAGAAATGAAAAAGTATATAATTATAAATGGCTTTAATAAACAATGCTGACAACAGAACATCAGCCACTGAGTTCAATCTCGCTTCAAAAAGTCGATTAAAACTTTTTGTTTCTAAGCAGAATCCATCATCTGCTATTACTTATATTATCCGCCCACTTTTCTTTTCCTTTTTATATTTCGCCGTAGACAATTTTGTTTTACGCTGATGCTTTATTGCTGCAGTTCCGCACTGAAGTAAACAAACTTAACTTTTTTTTTAAATAGGGTCCGGTTAATCATACTTCGATTTTTCGTTAGTTATTGGTTGATTGCTGACACCTTAATTCCATTAATTAAAATATACACCACCAAATTCGCAAAATTACTGAAATTAAATTTTAAACTCAAGATACCCCTGCAACTTTCAAGGCCAAAACGCAGATAAGTGAGATGAACATGTGCAACTCAGAAACTTTCGGTAGCGGTCGAAGAAGGACTATTTTAATTTAAATACTTTGAAATTAATTGAACTCCCGCTTAAGGATGTGGTAACTTTCTCTGCTTAACCAAATTGCTCCCTACCCTGATGGCCTGCATCGCTTTGAAATGTTAATAAATTCTCTTTGAGATGCAAGCAGATCTTCTTTGGAGACTGTGTGTGCGGAAATTCGTAACTTTCGGCTTTTACGGGTTCTGCACCATGCAGTTTTATACGTGCGCAGTTTATACACATGCGCAGTTTTGTACGCGGACGAATACTTCGTCTTATAAAGAAACTGCTTAATATTTTCGCCATAATACCTTTATAAATTTGCAAAAATTTTAAGCAAATAGCAAAAAGATTTTTTAGAACTCGAAATAATTTAATATTGTTACAGAACTTTTCCGCTCACTTATGATCAAAATATTATTCTCAAACTCCCTGCGAAGTTTCTTGCCGTCTAAATAATTTTTAAATATGCAGTTCTTACTGACATTTGTTTTATACTTTGCTTTAGTTTTTTTTGGCCGAGTTTTGGTGATATGTTTGCCTTGTTTGTATTCATGTTTGTGATATTTGTTAGATTTTAAAATCTAACATGTATTTTTTTTCTCTTTGAAAGGAATCCTGAACTTCAAATACATAGTCTTCAATAACATAGTAAGTGGAAAATAATCGAAATTGAAAATATGTTTATGGACAAAGAATATTGATGCTAGATTTTAATGCTTGAATGTGTATTTATATAATATTTTAGAAAGACACACATAAAAAGGGGGATAAATGAATAATAAAGTGATAAATAGAAAAAAAAAATCAGTCTTCTCGTAAATGGGGTTTTTAAAACGTCTGTGTTTAGGAGATGATTGACAAAGTTTCTTCAGCTTTTTATAAAAGGCGAATAAAAGTGTTCTCATGTAAATATTCAATTGAAGCAATAATGTTATCATCTCATGCCTATTTAGGAGTAAAATATTTAGGAGTTATTAAAAATTTCATCGAAATTTGTAGAATTTTTTTTTTAATCTTTCTAAATTTTTGAATAAAAGTGCATGAAATGATACCAGTTTCTTTACCTACCAAATAGTTAATAAAAAGAATGTTTTCATGTAAAAAAGGCATTGTTTTCCAAAACCCAATTTATTTTGCATTAAGTATTAAATCGATTATTAATGAACTGTCAAATGCATTAAAAAAGAGAGGGGGTGAACTTTTTTCTAGTGCACGTGTTAGATATACATTTTAATATAAAAATAATTTTATTTAAAAAGTGCATAAAGATATTTAGTGATTACATTTGAATATCATTTAACCTAGGGTAGCTATATAAAAACTACCCTAGTTGCTCGCAGCGTTTGCCTTTGTACTTGCTTAGTGGTTAATGGATTCCTCATTTCGAAAAATGAAAATTTTAAAATATAATTACGAGAGACATTCTGTATGTACCGGCTTTTTAAATAGTTAAACATGTAAAAAATTGCATTAATAATTGCATTTCAGACTACATCTCTAATTCGGAATTCCATGTAGAAGTGTTTGATAGTTTCAATATCTTAGGAAATCGCTTCTTCCTTTTTGTAGAAGTTATAAATTGAATCATATCTTTTAATTTTTCGCAGATTTACCTTGTTGGATATGTCTTGTTTCATTAAAAAGTAATAAATTCTCGCTATCATTTGCCAAGTCAATTAATGTGTAGTAATGAGAGAAAACTGTGGAATGTTTTTGAAATTCCGGTCTACGTACATATGTAATTTACGCATATATGCTTACTGTGTAATAGATATGAAATTTTTCTAAATATTTTTTTTAAATCTTAAGAAAGAAAAGGACTTCCAAATTAATTGCTACTGGAAACTAGAACTGGGAACACGGTGTATGTCGATAACTCGCCAATAAATATCTGCCTTCCCGTTGCAAAGATGCCTTCCACCTTCACCATTTTCTCTCAACCATGTGCTCACCTTTTTGCATTTGCTTCGGTGGAGTTTTGTTCCATATTTGCTATTTTTAATGGGTCTCAGCCATTTGCCAAATAATAAAACGGAACCTACCCGCTACCTCTGAACTACGGAATTATGCAGCAGTCGAGAGCACTTATTCCGCAGTCATTTTGAATATTGCATGAGGAAACTTCCTAGAAGATGCCAAGAGAGTGCAAGAATGACACTAGGATATATTTATTTAGATCATGACAAAAGCACTCAAAGGCTGATTGCCTAAGAGGAGTGCCTTCGTGGTGAACATTATAAAGGAAACTAACTCGTGTTCATGTCGCACCTAAGAAAAGTCATGAAAATTCCCATGCTGTCAGCCCGTACGCCGGGGTTTTAATCCCCATCCGACTACCAGCATTGATCGATTTTACCACTCGGCAGCTGGTGAACTGAATGATAACAAGAAAACTGTAATTCTGCCCACGAATGAAAGAAGCCAGATCACATTTATATTACACGGCAGTTGTAAATGCATTACACGGCATTTGGTGCAAGAAATTAACATCAGTGAAATTTCGCCAAGGATAATAGTATTATCAATCCCCTTTTTTCAACAGCTGGGTACCTCCACTTACGCGCGCGCCCACCAGTGGCCGAGCGGTAAAGTCGCTGAACACTGGTAGTTCGGTCCGAGGTTCGAATCCCGCGAACGGGCTGGCTGCATGGGTGTTTTCGTGGTTTTCTCCATGTGTAACGTGTATACGAGCCAGTTTCCCTTAGAAAGTCTCCCACGAAAGGCATCCCTCCCCTTAGGCAGAAAAGCCCTAGTGTGCTTTGCCATAATTAAATACACCACACCACCTCCACTTACGCATTCGCGGAGAGATGGCCCGAATCTATCGCGAATTTTACTATCTCATAAGCCAAAGCCTAAGGTGCAGAACAGTGGGTATATTTATATTGTACCAAAAGGGATTGAAAGTACAAATTTGCAAACCCTATTCAAGTTGCCCGAGTAATAGCAAATCTTCCAGTCAGTCTTTGCTATTCGCTGTACTAATGTCCGGATTAGTAAAATATATTATATCAGGACAGTTATTTTCAAAGTTTGCATTACCCGAAACAGAGAGAGAATTTATGTCCTCAATACTCAAATCACCAGCCTAAGTCCTAGGTAATTCATATCGTCACCAAAGTTATCTTGGCACCATTTGTAGTTCTTGGTAGCAGTTAATACGTAAATATCAGATTTTTATAAAAGTATTTATATGAACATCAAGAATTACTAAATGCATACTTTTCTTGGACATGCTACTTATAAAGAGAAAAGTTCCTGATGAATGTGTATTTCCTTATGAATGACGATATTTTGACTCTAATGAAAATAATACTTCTGTATGAATGACAGTGATTTCAGAAGGATTAAAGTGCTGTTTCCTTATGAATGATAATGATTTCATAAGAATGATAATGCTATTTCCTTATGAATGACAATGACATTTCCTTACAAATGACAATGATTTGATTCGAATGACAATTATATTTCATTATGAATGATAATAATATTTTTGTTTACAATATTCGCAAGGTTAATAAATATCTTCTTATTTGGCGATATTTCTAAACTATTCACCAGTTACCACCAATGCAAATTTATTCTCGGCTTAAGATTAAAAAATGACTATTTTTTCTTTGGATGTTTTAAATGTGGTTTTCTTCCTACCATGGTTCATTATTAAGACATCAATGCAAATAATAGTACTTCCATTCTTTCAGATTCACTTTTCCCTCGCTTCTCTGACCGTGAAACACGTAACAAGCTTTTGTCGATTCGAAACTGATGGACGGATATCCCCAGAGGAGCGACCGAAACCCAGTGAGACAGACATAAAGAAAAAGATAGAAAGAGACTTCGGAGAAAGCACACACATTCAACAAAGAACTCTAATGTGAAAGCGTTGGAAGTGAAATATTATCTTCTCTTCAAAATATATATATAAAAGAGAAATCTACGAGAAAAAGCCCATATATGTTGTTATAAGTGTGCGCTTTGCCTTTGTTTGTTGTTATAGTGCAAGAATCTCATTGTCGGGGACCACATTATTTTTGTTAGTATTTATTTGAATCATATTAGTTCTTTTTTTGTTTGTTTGTTTCCATATTTCCCATCATTCATGGTTTCGATATTTCTTGTTGGGAAATCCTAGCCCTCTCACAACGAGTCTTGTCGAAAGAATTGCAAAGGATGCTTTGGGGAAAAAATATTGTTTTTGGCTTGTTCGCGTATGAACCATTTTGATTCGAAGTTGGGAATGTATAATATTTTATCAGCGAGATAAACGCGATTTTGATGTGTATTTGAAATTCGATATTAGTTAACTTAACTTACATTTCAAGCTGTCTGTAGGTAATATTAATGACCCTTAATGTTACATCAAAAACAGAGGTAAATTTTAAAGGCTGCATTGAAGCACAAAATATCAATACAGCAGTGTAATGAAAAGTTTTTAAAAGTTTCTTCATTTTGCTGAATATCAGAATTTTATAGTTTTACAGTATAAATTCATTCAATTAATTTATAACAATATAAACTATTTTATATCAGATTTTAAACTGTTTAAATTTCATTATGAAAAAAAAAAATATGATATTTAGAATAGAGTATTTAGTAAAATATTCAATAGTTTGTTATATTATTTTCTTTGATTAAATTTTAGGCAATATAACTTTTAACCTCTTACGATGAGACTTCGGTTTTTATCTTATATTTTATTAATATATTATAAAAACTATTTTATTAAAGAAAGAGTATGTTTAAAAAACACGAAGGAACATATTACATATGGTTATTTTTACATTCTTATAGCAAAGTTTAATATTTCTTCTAATCTAAACGAATTATTTTCAAATTCACTTACTTAAATAAAGATATACATTTTTTCTATTTTCAAGGAATTCTTGTCTGCGATATAAAAATAAAAAATAAATGAAACTAGTATTCATCTTTTAAAAGCTTAAAAATAACTTAATAACTTTAATAATTTCTAATATTATACCCATAGTAATAAAGCTTTTATATCTATAGTTATAAAAATATTTATCTAATTTTTAATATCCTTGAATTATACAGGTATATAAAAATATTTATCTAATTTTTAATATCCTTGAATTATACAGGTATACATTTCAGTACAAAGATAAAACTCGTTATAATTCAATTAATTTATTCGTTTTTGCTTGTGATGTAGAAATAGTTGGCAAAACATTTTTCTCGATTGAAGTATTTTTATTTTGAAAAGACGAAGATGAATAACTTTTTTAAATGATTGAATTTCTGTAATGTTTTTAATGTGAAATGATGATATGAAAAAGGCTTTGAATGTGTGACGACGATGTCAAAGATTGGGTTTTCATTTTCAATGTGCAAATGATAACAAGAAACACTTTAGGTTTTGCTTCCGAATTTCACTTTGGACTTTCAACATATGTACTTTTTGTATTATCTTATGTTCTGCATGTGATGTAAATACTGATATTGTGTGAAATTTTTACGAGAGTTTTCTGTGGGTTGTGTATTATTCGTTTACATATCTTGAAATTAATATTATATTAGATGAGAAATTTTGGTAAAATATATCACCTCCTCCTATTTTTTTAAATTCATTTTCCTACCTCATTATTTAAGCATTTATCCGTCCTGTTTCCAGAGTGATTTTCGATAACATGACTCGAAATGAGTAACTTGAATTAAAGCCATCCTTTGCAAATCTTTCTACTCAGAGAAGAGAAGGGAAAGGAAGTAAAGCTGTGTAACTTCCATGTATGAAATTTACTATTCACAGTTGGGAAAAGTTTTATCATGTATGGAGACGGTTACCGTACTTGTTGATAATTAAATATTTCCTATATATCATCAAAGACATGACATAAATTGCTTCAAAATAAGTATGTATTATATAATAAAAATTCAGGCAAAAGGATTTATACGAGTCCTGGAGATTGAAGGTACAAAAGTCATGTTGAGTTTTGTTGTGTGCATCATGTGAAATAATTTACAATTATACACGAATTAAATTTCATGCTTTATTGTTAATGACAAAAAACATGAAATTGTTTTCATTGCATATTATATACTATGTCTGAAGTATTTTATATTTCATCTGATCATATCAGATTACTAATCTCATTAAAAAATAACCGTTGAAGCAAATTCGTTATATTCGATAATTACCAAATGTACATATATGTAATAATAATTGACGAAAATCGACCTTTAATATGGCTTTGATTTTTAAAAGAAAAGAGCGCCAAATAAAGCGAGAATTTCGCCAATTATTAATGTTCAACTTGGCATGCAATCTCTGCATTTATCTATTGTACATACGAATTTTCATTTTCAGCTTGCTATGTAGTAGCTGGCGCCGGGTTAGATTATTAGCATTTTAAATACTGAAATAAACGTAACGATAAGCACTTTCATTTGAACGTTTTCTTGTTAAAAAAAAGTGTCTTTAAAGTAATGCAAAAACTGGTAATTATCAGAATGCTTTGTTAAAGATTTGATAGATAGAAATTTATTGCTTTCAATTCCTGTACATACACATATAAATTGCATGATTTTTACCGTACTGTATTAATACGCTTTTAAAATTAAACATTTATGAGCGCTAGATTGGTTGAAATTTAAATAATAGTTTTAAACAAATTCAGTATATTTGGTATAGAAAAAAATTTAAAAATAAGTATGAAATATTTCAGAATAGTTATTTTTTGCTTATAATTTGTATGGAACAAATGAGCGTTGCTAAAATAATGGTCATATTTAAATGGCAGGTACAATTTTATGGTTTGTAAAATATAGTAATAAAAAATATATAGATAAAAAAACTAAGGAAATACAAATAATAATTGGAAAGGTGAAATTTCGTATTCTATGATTGTATTTGGTTGTTTATGTCAAGCAGGTGTTCTAAAAAGAGAGGGTGGTTAATTTCCCCCCCCCCACACACATATTTCCATCATTGTTTCTCATTTTCATCTCAAATACTGTTTTGTGTTTAGTAAATGGTATTGTTTATTTTAATCATTCTTTTCTCTTTTGTTATTGGATAAAATGTATTCGTCGTTTTGTAATGTAATGGGTTTTCTTCAAAATCATTCTGAAGCTCCAGCTACTTATATATTATGAAAATACATACTGAAACCTTCTGAATTTTCTAAATTTTACTACTAGTTTTGCAAGCTGAAATGTTTATGAAACAGATAAACTCGCTTCAGTATACAAACTACATTACTTTGCAACTGTAATATTTCCTCTACTTTGCAACTATATTATTCCCTCTACGGACTTAACTGCAGCATAAATTTTAATGTATATACCCAGGAAGAAAAAAAGAATTTTATCATAGAGGCATGGAAAAATAATTTCTGTAAATATGAGTTATAGTTTATTGTTTTTGATTAAGCTCATCATTAATATTTTGTATGAAGTTATATTGATTTTACATCGGACTATATGGTACTTTCCCGTTAACACAACCCTTTTTTGTTCAGCGCGAGAAGTCGCCAGATGTTGTAATCCGTACGCATTTCTTGCCAACATCATGCATTCAGCAATTGCCATTGACATATCTTGACTTCTTGACATAAATTTTTATTTGCATACCCACTGTATTACAATACATAATTTATGTATATATACTGTTAATAATTTTATCTTTTATTCATTTTGATTTTTAGTAAATCATCTGTTTGTTGTAATTTATGCTGTAAGCAACAATCCATAGTTTTTTAAAAAAATTTGTGGCATTGATTGACATTTTTAACATTTTGTGCTTTTAACTGAGCCCCCCCCAAAAAAAAAAAAAAAATTCCTCTGGTGGCACTTAGCAAAAAATTTGTTCTTTTCCTTAAAATGGTTTTTGTATTTTAATCTGTAACAAATTAAAGAATTTAAATCACTGGTATGTTATAGTATTGTCTCCTGAATTTAAACTGGTAAGACTCCTTTATTAGAATAGATTAGATTATTTTTTGTTTTGTTTGTTTCTTCAAGAATAGGTGTACTATTTTTTATAATAGTATAGGGTTATTTCATTTTGACTAGACTTAAAGTGGCCGTTTGGCGACTTTTCATGCTTGGCAACAAAATATTTTGTGTTATATTTAATGCAAAAGTATCAGTTATATTGATCTTAATGAATCAAAGTTTCTGAAGTTTTAAATTTAACTTACAATCCCTGGCATTCATAGTAAATTGGTAATTATCTGTATGTATATTCTAAATCTAAAAAACTTCTGAGAGCATTATGTCCTTATAAATTGCAAGCAAGTTCCAATTTTGCAATCTATGATGCTATTTAAATATCTGACAAAGAATATGTAGTAAAATTATTCCCTAGAGATGTAATTTTCTTTTGTAAAATGAGTGCAGTGTACAAAAAACATTTCCTTCATAAAAAATTTTCAAAAAATAGAAGATATTTCTTTCATAAAAACCAATTCAAAGTATAAAAAATATATCTTATAAAAATACTTAAGAGTATAGAAAGTATACGCTGTTTTTTTGAGTGTAGAAAAGTTTTTATGTCTGTTGATTGCAGTTGTGTAAATTTATTCACATCGTTTATACAAAAAAAAAAAAAAATTAAAATGTTCATTTGTTGAACTCTTTTAGAATATTTTTTAATCCACAGTTAAAGTTTCTCATGAATCTTTGTTAAAAGAAAGTTTTATTCTTCTGTATCTTTCTAAAAAAATGGGACATACAAAATAAAATGTCTTCTAAATTGTAAATTTTTGTATAAGTTTGTGCCTTAGAATGACAAAACTTTTACTGTTGATTACTTTTGACTAAAAATTTGCCTTGAAAATAATACATTTTAAGCAATATAAATATTTAATTCATTGTAATAGTTTGTTTATTTAAAAGTATATGCTATCCCATTAAGCCATAAAACTGAAAGGTAAAACACTAATTATTGAAATTTTTAGTGAATTGTATTCCTTATGTAAAATCAGAAAAAATTTCTTGTGAAATTGTTAGCAGAAAGCTGCTAAAAATTATTTGTATTTTTGGTTTAAGATCATGATAGGTATTCCTAGTACAGCTAGTTTACATTTTTAAATAATTTGCATTTATAAAGATTATATTATGGAAGGCATTATTGTACTAACGAAATTGATAAAGAATTTAATTTTTCTAATTTGATTTTGATTGTTATGTGAGGATCTGTAAACTGAATCTCCACAGTGATGTCGTTCGTTAAACTCGACGATGTATGAGCGTTAAAAAAATATATTGAACCAAAAGGAGATTTTTATTCTATATACGTGTAAGATTTTATTCTACATAGGTATTTATTAATATAAATACATTAAGTAATCATGTATGAAAGACTTATATATCTATAGAATATAGAATTTATATATCTATAGAATTTACATACAGCTCTTTTTAGTAAAACCTATCATGTTATATGCAAAAGTATAGATGGACCGCCTCATCCGCGACCATCAGCGCAAATACGCATGTGCTATTCTCAGAATAGGGTGGAAGGATGGGGACTTTTCATTAACTCCATTCTCTCTTTCCGGAGAAGAGAAGACTTTCACCTTCGCAGGAAGTAATAGCGCTCTATTTGGACGAGTCCTGTGTGTTTTGGCAGAATGCCAGCCAGGGTTGCGTTTGAGACGGTCGAACTATAATCTAAATCTGGATGTGTCGATAATTCGAGTTTAGCGGCATTGTAACCTTTATCGCTAAGCAGACGGTTCTTTTTGCCCTTCGCCAGTGTTGAACAACGACATCATTGTTGTAGATGACAAAATAAGTAACTTTTAAGCCAATAAACAACTTCTATCAATAGAACTTCCTATTCAAGTAGTGTTTGCTGAGCCAAAAAATGTCTGACTGAAGTCGTGCAAGTACTTTCTCTCGTATAGTATATAACATTGCTGCAGATTGTGAAAATGAAAGTGTTTTTCCATATTCAATATCTATGCAAGTTTACATCATTTTATCTAAGAATGTGAAAATCTCACAAATTCCATGTACTGTTTACTGTATTCTTCCATGTTGTATGAAGTAGTTAACAGAGTTAAATAAGTATTGTGTTATTATTTTTGCCACATTTGTGTGTCTCTCAAACTTTATATTTGCTCACATTTCGAATCTTATTTATTGTCATACCCCATACGTGGAATTTTTCTCTTTCCCATTTTTCTGGTTAAAAAAAAAAAAAAAGCTAATATTTACATTACTTATGAATGTAAAAAATTGTTACGTTATAAATAAATAACGATATCTGTCATACATATTACATTACCTATGTAATTTGAAATCATGCTTTGATTATGAGAAATTGTAAAGAAATTAAAAAAAAAAAGAAAATTTTATTGACATGTTACAGTTTCTAGTTTTATATGAGCTCCTTCTAGAATTAGCTTCTTAGTATAAGAAAAAAAAGAAAGGAAAAAATGTTTTCCCCTGTATGCATGTTGTTCAAAGCGTTGCATTGCTGCATAACGATATAAAAATGCCGTTAAATATTTGCAGTACTGCTTGAGCTTCACTTTAAAGTAATGTAGGTGTAGATACTGCAATCACGTGATTCATAGGGTAGAGACGTAAGGTTTCACGATATGCTTAAGGAAAAAGTGGCTGAGTTACTTTGTTTTCCTGATGCATATTATTTTTATATAATCTAACTATCAATTCAAATGTGTACAAAGCAAAATTCATTGCACAAGAGTGCAAGTTGAGTGCAATTTAAAAATACTTCTGTGTTAAAGTTAATTTAAAGCTAAAAGACTGTTGAATTTAAAGCTTAAAAACAGTTTTTTTATAGGCATGCAATATGCAACTTTGTTCGAAACACCAGACTATCATAAATATAAGACTTAAATATCTTCCGAGATACTATGAATTCTGTTAATACCGATATATATTATATATAGTACTGAAAATTACCTTTGTTGTTAGAAATTAATGTCTTTAAAATGTTTTCACGCTCGGTGCATAAATAAGAAATACTTATAAATTGAAAGTTATATCGGAGTGATTCTTAACCTGTTTTACTTCATACCTGTTTCACCACTGCTCCAGCAGTGATCTCCCTTGTTTCCAAAACTGGAAAGATGCATATAACATTTATTCAGATTGGGGTTATTTTTTTAACGTGCTTTATAAATTAAACAGCAAAAAGTATACAAAACGTTGATAAATATCAAAACTTAAATAAAACTAGTGTTTAATAGTCATAAAGTAAATACTTAACAGCTAAATAAAAAGTTGACCGCATCCCCTCCCGCCCCCCGGTTGAGGACCCTTGTTATTACGGAAATTAAGTGTATAATAATAAAAATAACTATCAGCTGTAAAAGTTGCTGCTAGTTTAGGGTATAAAAGTTATTTAGGAACAGAAGAAACAGTAACAGTAATTTTCTGATCAAAATAGTTGATCTCGGAGTAATCTTGATTTTTGAATGAAACTGCAGAATGAAAGTAATCGGACTATGCGAAAAGGCGTTGTGATTTGTTGACTGTATGAATTAGGTGTGAACTTCGATTGATTGACGTACATAAAGTATATAAAAAGAACTAACTGAGCAGTGGACATTAATTTTAAATTTTTTTAGAATAATAAAAAGAAGTTTGAATATATAAAATCATATATTTCCTTTCATATATACATATTGTTGTTCAATCACACACAATCTATATCATAGGCTTCACGATGTATATCATAGGCTGTTACGCATAATTGCTTGCTAGCGTATAATTTTGTTTGATTTTCTACGAAATAAAGTTTTCCTTCATTCAAAAAAATTTCACAAGAAAATATAGATAAATTAGTATTTAAACAAGTAATTTAAATATCTGCATTTGAGCTGAAATTTTAATCACTAAATAAAACTTTATTTATTATTTTCTATTTTTCTAAAATACAGTCTTGCCCACGGAAGCTATAATACGAAATTGAAATAAGCGAGTTTTATTTTTAATACTAAATCGTACTTCATAAATTAGTGGTGAATAAACTACGCCATTTTAAAACGAATACGATTACATCAAAATCTTCTCTATCAGAAATTCGCTGCTTATTTCATTCGCGGGAAAAAATGAAAATAAATTAATACAAAAATAGCTAATTAAAGCCAGTTTAGCAATCTTTCTTTTTTACTTTTACGAGCGATTATAAGTAAAATGATATGCAAATATGGAGTTGGTGTGTATATTTTTAATTCTAGTGGAAATTGTGACATGAATTTGATAGGACGTAGTGCAAATTTTGACAGCACTGGCAAATACAGAAGTGTAGTTGTAGATAGCTTGCTGCGTATTTGATTGAGAAATGCATCATTGTTTATTTAAAATTACGAATAAAACTATAATTTATTATTATGTCTGATTTATTAATATCTTGAAACTTAATTTGCTTGTTAATGGTGCTGAGCTTTCAAAATAAAAATTTGTTGTTCTTCAGTGTTATAAACTGTTGATTTTAAATTATAATTATTACTGTCTGAGATATCCTTGACTGTTTAGACTAATGTGGCTTTAATTTGACAATTACCAGTACTCTTGATTCATTTAAATGCATTTCTGGAATGAAGGAATTTTGTGATCATTGAAATTGTCGTATTTAAAATATGAGTTAAAATATTTTCTGAAATTATTATATAAGTTGCAAATTAAAATTTAAAACAGTTTTAACTGGGAAAAACTTACAGCTATTAAAGCTGATCTTTTTCAATTATTTCATTTAATTATGGCTGGCTCTAAATTCATGACTGATCTGTGATAAAAACTCTAATATTTTTAGTATTATTTTAATTTTTTTAAATATTCGTTTCTTTCCAGAAAGTCATTTCAGTGTTTCAACAGAGTTGTTGGAAAGAAGAAGTTATTGTTTGATTGTGCAGTAATGCTTGTAATGTGGATATATTTTGTGGCATATATGTTATACTGTTTATCATTGTAGTAAAATGTTAAATATTGAAAGTTTCGACGTATATTGTAAAAATGAAATTATGAAAAGATTTTTGGAAATAAATTAGGGAGAGCAGAATTTACTGCTCTTAGTTAAAAATTTCTAAAGTTTTTTTTATTTCCAAAGGTATTAATTCGAATTATACTTTTTAAATATCTGCAATAGAATTACAACATGTAAAATAACTTCTAGTGTTTAGGTTTCTGTTACTGAAAATGATTTGTTTTCTTTTTTGTAAAATGTGTTTTATTGGTTTTTAAAGAACAAATTTTCAGACAATTTCTTTAAAGAAATAATGAAAATATCAAGGAAGATTTTTGCTCTCCCTTATAGCAGTATCATCCTCATGTTTCTTAAATAGTTTTAAATTTGAAAAATATTTGTTGAACTATTCCACAGGCATACAATTTGCTTCGCTTTTGTATTGCTTAATACTCATGTGACTTCAATACCAACATTTAAAATGTAGACTACGGACCGATTAATTCTTGCCTTTTTTGCTTTCAGAAAAAAGGTTGCGCCATCTATCCGTTAACAATTCTACTTGAATTAGTTTGATTGCCAACTGATAGATGGTGTTGCCATCTGTTGATCATCTTTCGAAATATGCTAAGCGAATTCTCTTATTCGCAATGAAAGACATTAAGACAGCATTAATCGGTATTTGTAGATAGCAGTGCCGATTTTTCTCTTCTTTACTCTTTTTCATTCTATTATTAGGTAACTATGATGGGAAAAAAGTAGTAAATCATATTTTTCCCTTTACTTTAAGTAGCTGTAGTTTTATATAACATATATATATATATTTCTTGAATATATATTTTATGTTTTACACCTGGTTGAATGCCAGAGCAGCCTAGTCTTCACTGCCAAAATTCCAAGACTGGGGCCTGGCTGGTTCAGTTGCGAAAACAAACAAAAGTATATATATATATATATAAAAACTTGGAGCATAATTTTTTTTTATTTGTAACTTAGCAGTGGCAAAGTAATTATGAAACGTGTAAATTAATAAAGCATGTTATGAAAATTGCGGCGTGTTTATTTAAAATGAATCTGTTCTGCTTTCTTATTTCTTGATATTTTCAAGTTAACACATGCAAGACATTTCGGTTAATTTCTAATACTAGCTGCTTTCTTTAACTTCAACAAAAAACAAAAACAACCAAAAAAATAAATAAATAAAATACCAATTTTTTAACTTTGAACATAAATTTATCATTTGGGGAACAATAAAACTTTCACATTTAAAACAAAGTACTTAATAATAAAAAAATTTGGCATTTTGTGAAATTTGATGGTAGAACTAATAAACAGCACATGGGCATTTTCTAACATTTTTAGAATTACTTCAAAAATGTATCGATGTGGCGATTCCGTAACTTAAAAAAAAGTCCGATGTGGACACCACATGACGTTCTTGTACACTGTACAGCCTATTAAAATTATACGCACTTTTTTTGGATGCATTTTATTTAAAGGTATTTCCTCGAATTTCAGAGATCTAATTCTTATTCAATTAATTCAGTTCTCACTTCGCGGCAAGGCCGAAATTCATAAAAACTCAAAACATTTTCATTGAAAATTGTAAAACAAATTTTCTTATTCGAATATTTGATCAATTCTAGACTCTTTTAGAATTCGGATTTTTCGAGAAAATTTAGAATTCGTCTATTTTTACTTTCTGTGACTTTAAAAAGTTATCATCACAGCTGAGGGAAGTTGAGGAAAATATATACAGTTAACTGACAGATTTGATTATTTAAATTATGACAAAGCATATGAGAAATATCTGTCTAAGGAAAGGGATGCCTTCGTAAAGGACTTTCTAATTGTCTAATTGTCTAAAAATCTTCGTAAAGGATTTTCTAATTAAGTGGCTCTTTCACACATTAGAAAACCTACGAAAACTCCCGTGCAGCCAGCCCATTCATTGGAATTTGAGCCGAAGTCAAACTAGTGGTATCCAGAGAACAAGTTAACGGAATTCAGTGGCAAAAGCAATACAACTCCAATTATTCATAATTAATTGGGAACATTGTCCATCCAGATAATTGAATATGCGGATCTTTTTTCTAGAAGCTAATGAAATTTAAGTGGAGGAATTTTATTCTTTCGTTTGTCTTCTCGATAAAGATTTTCATCACGGATTATTAAAAAATAATAATATAAAAAATTTGAAAGGTTTCAGATTTTAAATTACATCCAAAGCGGCTTTTTTTAAAATTATTTTTTTCATTTTGTCTGTTACCTTTATTTATTAAATATCACGTTCTTCGCACTTAAACCATAAAATTCAGTTCAAGAGCAATATCGCAAAATAGTTTTAAATTGAGCATATCCTTAGAATTTCCGATACAGAGTCTCGCGCGTTGGAGATAAAATGTGTTTTCTGTACAACGTTGCCATTGCTTGCTTTGAAATCCTTGAGTTTGTTAATCAAAAATTCGTTTAACAAAATATGAAATCGATAATAAAACAAATTCCAAATTTCAAATTTGGGCTTCCTTATGCAAAATTCGATGCCATCATGCAAAAATCGATGGCTCTATGTACCGTTGTTATATCACAATGCGACATATATTTATGCAGATTTTTCATTATTTAATTTCTTCAAATATAATGTAGGATTTTAACATTTGATGGCAACACTTTGAAAAGTGAAACGGACATTTATAGTGAAACAACGCAAAATCGCAAAACGAAAACAATAGTCCTTCAGGGACAAAACCCCTTTGGACTGAAAATTTAAAAAAATGTTATTTCCATAAGGAGAATTTATTATTATTTTTTATTTCGTTGAGCAAAATATAAAACACTTATTTCGAAGACGTTGAATGAGAAAGTACTCCCCCCCCCAAGCGCATAATCCATTTTGATTTACAATTAAATAAAGTTAGCAAATTCTGTTTGAGAGATGGAACTGATACATCATCACCATACTTAGTTTGCTTTTTTAAAACAAGTGTGTTGTCATTTCTAAGCATTGATTCGCGGAGTAAATAAAGAATTAGTGTTTAGTAAACAACAAATAATAATTAGTTTTCTACCACTTTTTTTTTTTTTTTTTTAAGCTACATATTTGCAAAATGATACGTGATGTTGTGGTACTCAATGAGATGTATCCACAAAATATACTTATTGGCCTATACTGAATTATTTTGGAATGTAAACAAATAAATATTTTTTACTAATTTATTTTACTTAATTTGATACATCCTTAAAATTTTATAGTGTATATTTTTTATTTCTTAGAATTTTGATAGCATATATTTCTTTATTATTATAGTATTGTTTTATTATTACATTTATTGTTATTTTTTGCTTTTCTGAAAATAAAGAAAAAATACCGAGAACAAGCTATGCAAATATCTGGATTTCCAGATAATGGAAATCTGCATAATTAGATTACAGGATAAGTGAAGTATCACTGCGAAGAAATCGGTTTCTTGATCAAAACAAAATCTGCAGATTACAAACTTTTTAAAAAATGCTGTTTTTTTTAATTTGCTTGTTTTGCTGAAAAACAGACAAAATTTAATGTTAGACTTAGTAATTAATCACTAAGAATATAATTACATTCAGTTAATTTGGTAGTTAACAAATTATATTCCGCGACACATTGATTAGTGTACGTTTACATAAATAAAACTGGACCATCGATGCATTGACTCAGATACAAATCTTAAATTTTCTCGATTCCGAAGTAAAAAATTAATTTTAATTTTAATTTTTCTTTCAAAAGTATAACGTGAAATTTATTAATTTGTTTCATAACGTTATAAAATTTAACCAGAATTGTGATTGTTTGATCGTTATATTCTTCTCTATTTCATCTTACTCGGGATAGATGGCGCCAGTGCAATTTGATTATTAATGTTAAGGTAAGGGTTTTATCGTCAAATATATGCCTTCTTGTTTTAATATCGTATCTTTGCATGTGAATGTTATATGAAAGTAAATTTTAATACAAAGTAATGTGTTGATATGAGATAATTTCCTAAATAAATTTTTGATTGAAATATTACGAGTTTTTATGAGAGAATTGGTACATATGTTGTTAACAAGCGCATATGTTAGCAGAGCGAAAGGGCGAATTTTACGCATCCAGAAAATTAGGCGTATAGCTAAGCATAACCATCTTTCTTAGTCACGTGACACGGATGCATGGGAAAATGCTGCGCATATTTATTTACAAATTAGCAAAATATTATTGAAAATGATTATATTTAAAAAGAAATTCCTACATTCATTGTATTATTACAAAAAAGAAGATTTGCTTTATGTATTAAAATTATGTCTCACATGATAGGCCCGGATAGCTCAGTCGGTAGAGCGTTAGGCTTTTAACCTAACGGTCCAGGGTTCGAGTCCCTGTTCGGGCGGTACGATGTTTTTTACTGTTTTCTAATCATATTCTATATTTGAATATATGAACCATAATTTTATTTATAATTCATATTTTTTAAATTTTAACTCCTAATGTTCAACTGATATTAAGTTAAATAAAAAATTGCCCAATTATGTGTTCTGTGTTAATACCTGTAGCTTTGACGTGTCAAATTATTTTGTTCAAAGCTTAATTAGTACAAGGTAACGTAGTAATCAGCTATAATATTGCAAATGTAATTATTATGCAGTCGCAGGAATATTTAATACTTATCTCAGTGCGTAATTTTAAACAAATTTTTCTTTCTATACATATTTAAAACTTGGTTATTTAATAACGGATGAAATTATTTCGCAATTTCTTAATAAAACAAAATTTAAAATTGCAAAGAAATTTACAAAATAATTTACAAAATTGCAAAGAAAATGATTATCCTATTTTCCATCCTCTTTATTAAGTTGATAATTTCTGTTGATTACTTTTAAAGTTTAAAATTTATAAGCAGATACTTATATAATGAAATTAAAAATTGCTAGTTTCAAATTTCATTGTAAAATGAACATATAATTTATAAATTATGTCACAAAACTGTAAATTAGCCTTAAATCATACAAATATTGTGCAGATTTAAATTATTATAATATTAACTATAAATTATGAATAATTTACAATACAATTGCAAATTAAAATATGCAAGTTAATGCTTTTTTGCTGAATACTATTTTTAAGCTAAGTATTTGTAATATATATTTAATTAGAATTCTTCGGCTTGTATCCGTTACGAAGTGATAAATTCATTTTATAATTTATCAGTTATGATGCCTTGAAGAGTAAATGAAGGTTCTGGAACAAGCCAATTTTTTGCAAACGTAATGAAAATTTGGTGGTTTTTTTTTTTAGTCCAAAGGGATTTCAGTCCCTGAAGGACTATTGTTTTCGTTTTGCGATTTTGCGTCGGACTCATAAACGTCGGTTCACTTTTCAAACTGTTGCCACAAAATTTTAGAGTCCTGCATTATATTTGAAGAAATTAAATAATGAAAAATCTGCATAAATGATTGTCTATTTCTCGGCATTGTGATAAAAAAAAGGTACATAGAAGCCATCGAATTTTGAATGGCGTAATTCCTACTGCGAACATGGGCATGTGGAAGCCCAATATTTGAAATTTGGAATCGGTTTTATTATCGATTTCATATTTTGTAAATTTTTTAACGAATTCTTGCTTAACAAACTCAAGGATTTCAAAGCGAGACAATGGCAACGTTGTACAGGAAAAAAAACACTTTCATCTCCAGCTCGCGTGAGACTGTGTATCGGAAATTCTAAAAGATATACTCAATTTAAAAACTATTTTGCGATATCGCTCTTGAACTGAATTTTACGTTTTAAGTGCGAAGAACGTGATATTTAATAAATAAAGGTAACAAACTCAAAAGGTAAATGTTAAAGAAACGCCCCTTTGGACGTAATTTAAAATCTGAAATATTTCAGATTTTTTTTTTTTTTTTTAATGATAAGAATAATTTCAAAGAGAATCTATAAGTCGTGGTTGTGATGGTCGTGTGACTGTTTAAGTATAATATAAGAAAATGAAAAAGGGCAGTTTGATGAGTAATTATTTTATTAGAAAGTAATTT